TATTCAGGTGACAAACCTGCAGTAATCTGTGTAGAGTGAATATTGATTCTAGTCCTTATTCATGTGACAAACCTTCAGTAATCTGTGTATAGTGAATATTGATTTTAGTTCTTATTCAGGTGACAAACCTGCAGTAATCTGTGTAGAGTGAATATTGATTCTAGTCCTTATTCATGTGACAAACCTTCAGTAATCTGTGTAGAGTGAATATTGATCTTAGTCCTTATTCAGGTGACAAACCTTCAGTAATTTGTGTAGAGTAAATAGTTATTCTGATCCTTATTCAGGTGACAAACCTTCAGTAATCTGTGTAGAGTGAATATTGATTCTAGTTCTTATTCAGGTGACAAACCTTCAGTAATCTGTGTGGAGTGAATATTGATTCTAGTTCTTATTCAGGTGACAAACCTTCAGTAATCTGTGTAGAGTGAATATTGATTCTAGTCCTTATTCAGGTGACAAACCTTCAGTATTCTGTGTAGAGTGAATATTGATTCTAGTCCTTATTCAGATGACAAACACTCAGTTATCTGTGTAGAGTGAATATTGATTCTAGTTTTTATTCAGGTGACAAACCTTCAGTAAGCTGTGTAGAGTGAATATTGATTCTAGTCCTTATTCAGGTGACAAACCCTAAGTAATATGTGTAGAATGAATATTGATTATAGTCCTTATTCAGGTGACAAACCCTCAGTAATCTGTGTAGAGTGAATATTGATTCTAGTTCTTATTCAGGTGACAAACCTTCAGTATTCTGTGTAGAGTGAATATTGATTATAGTCCATATTCAGGTGACAAACCTTCAGTAATCTGTGTAGAGTGAATATTGATTATAGTTCTTATTCAGATGACAAACCTGCAGTAATCTGTATAGAGTGAATATTGATTATAGTTCTTATTCAGATGACAAACCTGCAGTAATCTGTATAGAGTGAATATTGATTCTAGTCCTTATTCATGTGACAAACCTTCAGTAATCTGTGTAGAGTGAATATTGATTCTAGTCCTTATTCAGGTGACAAACCTTCAGTAATCTGTGTAGAGTGAATATTGATCTTAGTCCTTATTCAGGTGACAAACCTTCAGTAATGTGTGTAGAGTGACTAGTTATTCTGGTCCTTATTCAGGTGACAAACCTTCAGTAATCTGTGTAGAGTGAATATTGATTCTAGTCCTTATTCAGGCGACAAACCTTCAGTAATCTGTGTAGAGTGAATATTGATTCTAGTCCTTATTCAGGCGACAAACTTTAAGTAATCTGTGTAGAATGAATATTGATTATAGTCCTTATTCAGGTGACAAACCTTCAGTAATCTGTGTAGAATGAATATTGATTCTAGTCCTTATTCAGGTGACAAACCTTCAGTAATCTGTGTAGAGTGAATATTGTTTCTAGTCCTTATTCAGGTGACAAACCTTCAGTAATCTGTGTAGAGTGAATATTGTTTCTAGTCCTTATTCAGGTGACAAACCTTCAGTAATCTATGTTTAGTGAACATTGATCTAAATTAAATTTAGCCAAAATAATTTGTTTCAGTTATCATTTAATATAAATTAAGAACTGATAATGATAGATCAGATTGTTATGAGCTGTCAAGTATTGAGGTAGGCTTGTATTTTGGATGATAGGTATATATGAATGTTAAAGGAAAAGAGCTTTGTTTTGTACTTGGAGAACTAGAAAGAGTGTAGATAATGTTTATCATCTGATTTTGAGGTAGACTGATGTGTCTGAAAGAAGATAATGGAAGCTCTTCAGTTAGATAAAAACCTTTTTGCAACCTTAAGGAGTATAGTGATAACTGTTGTGTAGTCTTACAGTGTAGATAATGTTTATCATCTGATTTTGAGGTAGACTGATGTGTCTGAAAGAAGATAATGGAAGCTCTTCAGTTAGATAAAAACCTTTTTGCAACCTTAAGGAGTATAGTGATAACTGTTGTGTAGTCTTACAGCGGATAGTCAATGACCTGAGGTTAGATGTTGTTAATGTATGTTACTTAATGTAAGGATAGATTTTTGTGTTATTTGTTTAAAGCATTTGATTTAAATTTCTTCATAGAAAAACTTGAAGTACCAGCTCATAAGTGTGGAAAACTGATTGGGTTTGGAGGTTACAACTTAAAGAAACTGACAGCAGTAACTGGTAAGGATGGCAATAATTTTAAGATACTGACAGCAGTAACTGGTAAGGATGGCAATGATTTTAAGAAACTGGCAGCAGTAACTGGTAAGGATGGCAATGATTTTATGAAACTGACAGCAGTAACTGGTAAGTATGGCAATAATTTTAAGATACTGACAGCAGTAACTGGTAAGGATGGCAATGATTTTATGAAACTGACAGCAATAAATGGTAAGGATGGCAATAATTTTAAGAAACTGACAGCAGTAACCAGTAAGGATGGCAATAATTTTACAAAACTGACAGCAGTAACTGGTAAGGATGGCAATAATTTTAAGAAACTGACAGCAATAACTGGTAAGGATGGCAGTAATTTTAAGAAACTGACAGCAGTAACTGATAAGGATGGCAGTAACTTTAAGAAACTGACAACAGTAACTGACCAGAGTTCAATGAAACTAACAGTAATAACACCATAAGTCAACCCTGTGTGAAATGTGAGAAAAAATACTGGTTAGTTCATGTAGAAATAAGAAAGTTATTTGTCAGAAGAGAGGAAAAAAAAATACATCTTTTGATCAAGTTTTAAACACTACTGGTTAGTTTATGTAAAATGAAACGTTTAGATCTCTCTAAAGATTACTAAACCACTGCTTGCCACAATAGTACTCTTGCTATTCAATGAGGGTAGATGATCATGAAGCTTATCTCTATCTTCATGGGCTTGGTCGAATTGACCGACCACGTGACCTTTTTGTACTTGTTTAAAGTCTTCATAGTTTGATACTACTAACTTTTAATATAATAAGTATACCTTCACAAAATTTTACACTTTCAGTAAACATTACGAGTATTTTTTTTTACTAGTCTGAGTGCAAAGTAATTTTCATGTTAAGATTAAAAAAATCTCAAATTTCGTTTGCATAATCTCTGAAGCCTCCTAAATACATTCAAACATTTGTTTTTAGTAAAACTTTATATTTTCTCTACCTTAACTTTTTACAAGGTTGTTCAATCTGGACATCGATGATTTTACTACAGTTAGTGTTAGGGTAAAGATAATATATAAAGTTTTTATCTCAAAAGCTTCTGATGATTATTTAAGAGGTTCTATACAGTTTCTCGACTACTGGTCCACAAACCAGCACCAGTCTGTCACAACTGCCTTGTAGATTCATGCCACTGTTCTAGAGGTTATGTACATGAAATCTGAAAGCTGTAAGATGAAAATTGCTTTTCTTTCTGATTAACTCGGTAAGGGCTTCAGAAATTCACAAAAAAAAAAATATGGCCCGGCATGGCCAGGTTGTTAAGGAGCTCGACTCGCAATCTGAGGGTCGCGGGTTCGAATCCCCGTCCCACCAAACATGCTCGCCCTTTCAGCAGTGGGGGCATTATAATGTGATGTTCAATCCCACTATTCGTTGGTAAAAGAGTAGCCCAAGAGTTGGCGGTGGGTGGTGATGACTAGTTGCCTTCCTTCTAGTCTTACACTGCTAAATTAGGGACGGCTAGCGCAGATAGCCCTCATGTAGCTTTGCGTGTAATTCAAAAACAAAACAAAAAAATATTGTAATATTCACTGAAAGCTTGCCAACTTTCATAAGGTATACTTAATAAATTCAGAATTATAGTAAACATAGTATGTGTAGCTTCAGAAATGAACTGACCTTATGAGCATAAAACTCGCAGATCTTGAGTGAAAGGATTTCCTGGAATATAAACTACTCATTAAGTTTTAAGATATTTTAAATAAGAATAAATTCTTATTTTCTGTATTTTGGTAGCAAATAAACACCAATCTGAATAATTGAATTTGCTTTTTCTCACAATATAAAATATAAGTAAAAGAATTTAGAATACTCTATTGAGAGACTTGATCAGCAAACTTTTTCTTTCATAACTTGAAAAAATGATGGAAAGAATGTAGTGTTCTAATTGTTCTATCCTGAGATTCATTTTATAGCTGTTGTTTAGTCTCGGGGAGTATGTAGTGTTCTATCCTGAGATTCATATTATAGCTGTTGTTTGGTCTCAGGAGGTCTGTCTGTAGTTAACACTACATTCTTTATAATTGTTCTGTCCTGAGATTCATATTATAGCTGTTGTTTGGTCTCAGGAGGTCTGTCTGTAGTGTTCTAATTGTTCTATCCTGAGATTCATATTATAGCTGTTATTTGGTCTTCAACTTAACATCCTTTTGATTAAGTTATGAAATAAGAGTTGCTGATGACATCAGTCAAGAATATCTTGATTCTTTATCACAATATTAAAGTTGTAATAATTTGATGGCTGTTGTCTTTACTTTGGTTTAGGTGTTCACGTCACACAAACTAATGGTTCCAACTATGACATATTTGCACCCAACCAGAGTGCCATGGATGAAGCTAAAGAGATGATTGAGGAATTTCTGTCCGAGGAGGTATGTTTATATTACTGCCCACTCGCAAAACTAAATCTACAATATCATTGAATTGGCCGATTCAGTATTAAACAAACAAGTTTATATTTGTAAAAGCATGTGTGTGTACACATTTTCTTTAACAACAATATCTGAACCGTTAAGTATTAACTTCAGTGGTTGTTTATTTCTAACATATTCTCTGTACTTTTAGAAAGAACCAGAACTTGAATTTGGTGCTATTTACACAGCAACAATTGTAGAGTTAAGGTAAGTTTGAAATTTTGGAAAAGTAACATAAGATAGTCGAGAGCAGTGTTAAAATGTAATGATTTATTTTCCAGAATCTGGTGGAAGTGTTATTCAAAAAATAAGGTAGTCACAAATGTGGTTCTTATATAACATATTTTTACTTACTGATATGGTTCATTTAAGTAACTTTTACATCATAGATAGGGAAGGTTCTTATCTATACAGCCTAGTGTATGTTTCGACAGTGTCAGAGAATTGTCTAATTAAAATCAAGTGACACCTGTAAAGACCATTAAAATGTTATTTCAATAAGTACAGAATCTGCAAGTTCTTAATATCCATGTTCAATAAATTGTTTTTTTTATTAGAGAAACTGGTGTTATGGTTACTTTGTATCCAGCTATGACACCAGCCTTACTTCACAACTCCCAGTTAGACCAAAGAAAGGTAGAGTATCATTTTATGCTAAAAATAATAAATGAAGTCTGTTTAGTCATCTTTCTGTCATATTAACCTAAACAAAACTGACTTAAAGTATGAAATTTACTAAATACTGGATCTGGTTTGTGTTGTTATATTTTCACTTTTGAAATTAAATATTCAAATGCAAACTGTGGTCTTTATTTTTTAAGTGAATATTAGGGATACAAGCCATATTTAATCTTCCCACTAGATAAGTCACCCTACTGCTTTGGGATTGGAAGTGGGACAAGAAATTCAAGTGAAGTATTTTGGCCGTGACCCCGTTAGTGGAAGGATGAGGTTGTCCCGTAAAGTTCTACAGCCAACGGCTACTACAGTCTTACGTAACTTGGGAGAAAAACAACAAGTGTCTACATCTAATCTTAACTCAAGCTCACAATGAGTGGTGCTTACTATAGACCAGCTGTGATGTTGAACCAGGCTACAAAACTGTTAGTCAGGAAGATGTAACATAGTGTTTTGTAAGCAGGGGAGATATTTCTATGCTAAATTTACAGAGATTAAGTACATAAAGGACTTGAAGTGTTTTGACTTTCTCGAGGAACAAACAGCTTGAGTAGTTATTACAAAATAACAAAACACTCTTCAAAAAATCTTTATTGTACTGGCTGAAATAACAGATTAAACATTTTTTACATCAGGTTCAAATAGGGAAAAAGTATAAATATATTCTTTTTTTCTTTTTATAAAAAATAGAGCTCTGGCTCCATTGTACATACCTACAGTAATATATGTATTAAATATAATACACAATAATTGTGTGGTTAGACTGAACTTGTATAAATACACACTAATTAAGGATAACTAACTATTCTTATGTTACATGCAATTATTCTCAATTATTTGGTTTTGATTATCATCAAGCTATTAATAATGAATCAGCTTTGATTTGTAATAAAGTTAAATATGAAACTTCTCAAACAATAAAAACACTACTGTATGAATTAACAATTTCTTGGAGTACACTAATTTAAGAAAGTTCCCAAGCTTTTATTACATCTTTGGTTCTAGAACAAACAGGAACATTACACTAATAACAACACGTGAAGGTTTAAGCTAGTTTCGTTAATTATGAAAGCATGGTTTTCAACATAACATAGACTGAACCAAGTTACAGTAAAGTTAGGGTTGTAGTTATTTTACACACAATATAATAAGAACCTGATTTAGAGAAATAGAATATTTGGTTGTCAAGTTGTGTAGCACATATACGTAAATCAACAATACTTAAATTACGTACAGTGTGGTTCACCGTCAAACAAATGAACATAGGCACTTTATAAATGAAAAGTGTTATTGTTTGGACATGTTAATTAATCTAAAGGACTAATAGCTCTTTAACAGACAATTGTACACTTCTAGTACATGCTAAGTACCCCCATTTAGGTCAGATTAGGACTAATAGCTCTTTAACACATTTCCTGGCAAGATAACAGACAATTGTACACTTCTAGTAAATGCTAAGTACCCCCATTTAGGTCAGATTTCCTGGTAATAGATTAATACCACTGTTGATGTTTTTTATATGAAGTCTAACTGATGTCCAAGAAGGTATGTTCTTCCTTAGCTACTCTCTTGCTAACTGAAAGTTGTATGTTTATTTCCCTGTGCTGTATGTATGTTCTTTAATGATCTTACATGAATTAAATAATTGAATCTGTGGTCACTATAACTCAACAACACAAAAAAAAACTATAAATGCATATAACTACATCACCACCTTTATATTATATTAAAGACTACGGAATATAAACATTCTCATAGAATGTCAATCTAAAATAGTTGAATAATTATTTTCTTTGGTCTTACGTTCTTTGTGAAACACACACACACTCCTTAAAGAATACTCTCTAAATAAAAATAAGGACATCATTATCAAATATTGCCACTTAACATATTTAGGCATCAGCATTCAGGAGGTAGAACTGTATGGACGATGGACAGCTGCATGACCAAGTGATAAAACTTTTCATCCAATTGTGGAATAGGTGACCACAGCATATACAGATATATAAAACCACAAGCTTCAAGTTTAGAATCATCTAAGTGGGAAACACAACATTCTTAGATATCCTTAAAGCTCACTGGTTCTTGGCCAAAAGTTAAAACTTCAGTTGCTGGACATCATGAGCACTACTCGTTGTGATATATACACCTTAGTTATCTCATCAAGCTAAATTACTACAAGCTGAGATTCTTCAGTTGTGGTGGACATAGGATGGTTATCTCAAACTGAATTACTAGGAGCTGAGATTCTTCAGTTATAGTAAACAAACCCTGGTTATCTCATCAAGCTGAGATTTTTCAGTTGTGGTGGATAAATGTTGGCTATCTTAAAAATCTCAGCTTGATGAGATAACCAGGGTTTGTTTTTATAACTGAAGAATCTCAGCTTGTGGTAATCCAGCTTGATGAGATAACCAAGGTGTATCCACCACAACTGAAGAATCTCAGCTTCTAATAATCCAACTTGACAAGATAGCCAACATTTATCCACCACAACTGAAAAATCTCAGCTTCTGATAATCCAACTTCACCAGTTGTGGTGGATAAATGTTGGCTATCTTGTGAAGTTGGATTATCAGAAGCTGAGATTTTTCAGTTGTGGTTGATAAACCTCAGTTATCTCATCAAGCTGACATTCTTCAGTTATAGTAAACAAACCCTGGTTATCTCATCGAGCTGGATTACTACAAGCTGACATTCTTCAGTTATAGTAAACAAACTCTGGTTATCTCATCGAGCTGGATTACTACAAGCTGACATTCCTCAGTTATAGTAAACAAACCCTGGTTATCTCATCGAGCTGGATTACTACAAGCTGACATTCCTCAGTTATAGTAAACAAACCCTGGTTATCTCATCGAGCTGGATTACTACAAGCTGACATTCCTCAATTATAGTAAACAAACCCTGGTACTCTTATCAAGCTGATATTTTTCAGTTGTGGTGGACACACGTTGGTTCTCTCATCATCTGGAAGCTGGATTACTACAAGCTGAGATTCTTCAGATGTGTTGGATAAACCCTAGTTTTGAAGCTGAGATTTTTCAGTTGTAGTAAATACATCTAGGTTTATCTCATAAAGCTGAGATTCTTCAATTGTGATAGACACACCCTAGTTATCTTATGAAGCTGAGATTCTTCAGTTGTAGTGAATACATCTATGTTTATCTCATAAAGCTGAGATTCTTCAGTTGTAGTGAATACATCTATGTTTATCTCATCAAACTGAGATTCCTCAGTTGGGATGGATAAACTTTGGCTATCTCATTAAGCTATATTACTACAAGCTGAGATACTTTAGTTGCTCAATATAAACAATCCTTAATTGTACACTATGACTTGGTGATCTGCAAGCTAGTTTATTACAAACACTGTTGTGGAGGAAGAACCATCTTGCTGATCTTATTAAGTTTAGCAACCACAAGCTGAGATTCTTGATGAAGCCTTTGGTTTTCTAGTTGCAGTTGCTTCATCTGTTTTTCCAGAACAGCAGTTTGACTTTGTTCCTACAAATAAATAGGGCTAGCTTGAGAACTTGCAACATTCAATGATACAAACTATTCATGCTATTTATTGTTGGTGCAGGAGAAGAACAGAATACATACTGTGTGTGGTAGTTACTGTTGGTGCAGGAGAAGAACAGAATATATACTGTGTGTGGTAGTTACTGTTGATGTAAGAGAAGAACAGAATACTTACTGTGTGGTAGTTACTGTTGGTGCAGGAGACGAACAGAATACATACTGTGTGTGGTAGTTACAGTTGATGTAAGAGAAGAACAGAATACATACTGTGTGTGGTAGTTACTGTTGGTACAGGAGAATAACAGAATACAAACTGTGTGTGGTAGTTACTGTTGGTGCAGGAGACGAACAGAATACATACTGTGTGTGGTAGTTACTGTTGATGTAAGAGAAGAACAGAATACATACTGTGTGTGGTAGTTACTGTTGATGTAAGAGAAGAACAGAATACATACTGTGTGTGGTAGTTACTGTTGGTGCAGGAGACGAACAGAATACATACTGTATGTGGTAGTTACTGTTGGTGCAGGAGACGAACAGAATACATACTGTGTGTGGTAGTTACTGTTGGTGCAGGAGAAAAACAGAATACAAACTGTGTGTGGTAGTTACTGTTGATGCAAGAGAACAGAATGAGGAATTCTTGTCATTTTAATAACGTATTACAATCTTTTCTAAAACTTGATTTGTTCTAAGTACATAATACACTGTTACTACATGGATATTACTAAGTCTGTAACGTGTCTGTTTAAAACTTCAATCTTATTATGTGAAAATTTTCTCTTCTAAAGGTGAGAATGAGCTAAACTGGAATATTTTTCAACAACCTTATTATAAGTCTATCAAAGTTAAGTGTGAGACTTTCATCAAATGTTTAATAATTGCAACAGTAGAAAGTTCATGTGTTTAGCCAGAAGTTCATATTTATTTCTTTGGCACTAGATATACGTAATATAGTTTCTAGATACATTATTACATTATTTAATTGTA